TTTTAAACTTAAGTGGTGAGGCTACAAAACAAAATCTGTTACATTGCAAGCCCTTTCACTTTCTTCTTTCCCCACTAGCCTCAGCCTTTTTCCCATTACACTTAACCCACGAAAATCCCTCTTTGAGCACTTGCTCTTCTAATCTAAAAATCATATACATGATACTGTGCAATGAAGTGGTAGAAAAGGAGGCAAAGCAACAGGCAACTCAAATATCAAAGAACAGGCCAATTGGCTAATTAAATCAGGTCCAGAATACTTATTTAAGAGAGGCTTCAGCACTTTCCACGGTGACCTCGTCATCAATGGCATCACGCCATCACGATTTAATATCCCTAAATCAAAGTATTTTATGTCAAAATCTAGGTTAGGAAATATAAGCTGCAATCAAACAAACAAGTTTCACTATAAAACTCAATTTAAGCTCATAGATCAGAGAAACTCAAAAAGCCAAAATAAAAATCCGTACTTTCTCTTTTATCATCCTTCAAATGATTCTCGTCATCTCATCACCTAAATGTGCCATGGATAGAAAAGATATTAACATCATATTATAGCAGTTTGGATACTGAATTAAATAATTTGGAACCTCAGGAAAAAAATGAATTCTTAGATTAAACAATCAGCAACAGTTCATGGAAGCTAAAAATAATTATAAATTTTCAATGTCTTCATTTTCCTCATTTCTCATCAATTTTATAGAGAAAAGAACAAAAACACCGGAGCGAAGCGGCACGCATAAGGCGAGTGAAGAAGCTGACGGGACTGCGAACGCCTCCACTGCTGAAGAGTATAGAATTGGTCCTAACGGCAGAGAGAGATGAGAAGTGCGATGGCAATGACGAGAGGGCGGCAATGGCTGACGCCATGGCGCCTGGCTGGAGTCCAAGTTTCAGCCGTACTGTTTGGAGAGAAGCTGCGCGTTTTGGAAATGATATTTCGGATGCCGTATTTTATGGCTTGTGCCGTGTTTGGACATAAAGGAAGTAGCGGCTCCGTTTTACTTCTTGACCGGGATGTATGATTAATCACGGTAACCTCAGAGTCTAATGATCGTTGATCGTCCGGTTGGAAAACAGGGAGGGTTCCTTGACACCATGTTAATTCATTCACAAACTTCTCATTTTTAAAAAAAAATAAAATAGAGGTTAGAGTTAGCATAGCATTCAAATTGTCATGTCATAAATATCTTAATTTAAATATAATATAAAATTTAAGAAATATAAAAAGTAAA